CCCCACCCCCAAATTTTTTGTACTATTAAATAATTTTATCTAGCTTTGTTGTTTTAATTGCTATTGAAGGTAGGACAATTTGACAACGGTGTTAGATCAAAATTTGAATAGAGGATATTTTTTGTTGAGTTAGAGAATTAGATATATGACCCCTGTTTGGTCCCTATTCTTTACTCATTAAAATGAAAAATATGATCGATATCCATCACATTAAACCACCAAATTTGAATTTCTATTTTTTTTGTGGGACTCGTAACGACTATATTTTTTATTCTCATTCTTCCAAAAATGAGAAACAAACGGGGGCATGGTTATTTTTCAATATGTAAAACGTTTGTCATGAATCAAGTTACGACATCATTGAGAATTGGAGTAGGGAAGATGACTCATTTACTTATCAACAACTTAACAAAAATAGAACTCCAACATCAGGAACAGTTCACATTTATCAATTGGATTAAGAGAGAATTTGATTAAGAATTTCCCTATCTTCCATGCTAGCAAGGATATATAATGACAAAGTCTCCAAACCTCAATCGATGAAATCCTATTGATTACGCTACATGAATAATCATCAATCTCGATTTAATCAATCACACTATTTTTTATGACATTTTATTGATCTAAATGAGTTATGCTTCAACTCAAAACTTCATTCCGGTCAATAAATTTGTCTATCAACATAAGAGGATGAAAAGCAGGTTACACCTCTTGGCATTGATCAATATTCATATGATTCTTCACATGCTCGTATGACATTGTTTTAATTAATTTAGATAAGGTAACATTCAGTGACCCACCCCAAATTTTATTGGTCCTCGTATTGGTTTATATGATAACCTCGAGTCAAAGGACAAAAATCATTACCTAACACTTGCACATTTCCATTGAAACTATAAGACAATAACCCGCTTGAAATCTTCATTGTAGGTCATTCATGATTTGTCTTTTAACAATTCATCAACATATCCATTTAAATTTCTCCACATTTTAACTTGTGAAATCAGCTAATTTCTTCATAAAAAAGATTTGTGCTGTGTGCTAGTCTATCCGTAACAATGATATTAATGCCTCATAATTATAAAAGACCAAGGATAATCTTGCAATTAACAAGTATATTAAATAAATTAATGCCCATGATTAAATAAAAAAACATGCAATACAATTACGTTGATAATAAACTCTTTATGATATCTCAACGATTAGACCTTGGGCATAACATTATCTACAATAACACGAGTACATTATTGCTAAATCTCACACTTTAATTTAGATAAGGTAACATTCAGTGACCCACCCCAAATTTTATTGGTCCTCGTATTGGTTTATATGATAACCTCGAGTCAAAGGACAAAAATCATTACCTAACACTTGCACATTTCCATTGAAACTGTAAGACAATAACCCGCTTGAAATCTTCATTGTAGGTTATTCATGATTTGTTCTTTTAACAATTCATCAACATATCCATTTAAATTTCTCCACATTTTAACTTGTGAAATCAGCTAATTTCTTCATAAAAAAGATTTGTGCTGTGTGCTAGTCTATCCGTAACAATGATATTAATGCCTCATATTTATAAAAGACCAAGGATAATCTTGCAATTAACGAGTATATTAAATAAATTAATGCCCATGATTAAATGAAAAAACATGCAATACAATTACGTTGATAATAAACTCTTTATGATATCTCAACGATTAGACCTTGGGCATAACATTATCTACAATAACACGAGTACATTATTGCTAAATCTCACACTTTAATCTCTTTGCCTGTTAATGAATAAACATCCTCTAATACAAGTTACTGCATTCCACTTTGCATTATTAACTACATGTTTTCAGTTTAAGCAACACAAGCAAGTTGAGGGTTGTACCTGATGCTATAACTATTGGAAAATAAGGGGTTGGAGAAAAAACAACAACAAAATTATAGAAGCAAAATGAATAGAAATCACGAAATACGTCAAGAACGAATTTGAGGTTTGAACACGAGATCGTTGTTCTCAAACTATATTTGCCCTCTCTCGGGATTGAATGAGATGTTTAAGGGTTTTGGCAAACGGTTTGTAGGATTATGTCAAGCCTTGTAAAGGATTTAACATCAAAGCACAAGTGCAATCTTCCAAAACTTTAAGAACACAAAGAAAGATCTTGAATATGAATGTAAATCAATAATTTGATTCAATATGGAATGATATATGGATCTCAAGATATTTTCAATTATTCTAGTAATGTTTGTATTGATCATTCATCACCTATTTATAATCCTCAATCAATACATCACGAAATGGTGCCAAAACAAGATAAAAAGTGGCAACTTTTAATCCAAAACGGCTCCCAAGTTTCAAATTGAAAAATCAGCCAACGGCTATTTTTTAACACTATGCGTACGCATAGTAGTAAATCGTGTGTACGCATAGTAGAAGCAAAATTTAATTTTGATTTTGCCAAAACACATCTCGCGTACGCACAAAAATAAGCCTGTGCATACGCATAGGCAAAAAATCAAATTTTTTATTTTTCAATTTCTTTTGATTCTACCAATTCCACAATTGAGCCCAACAATTAGTCCATTATCATTCCATTGATTTTGAACAAATATTTAACAATCCCCCACTTGTTCAAAATCAATACGATCACATATTCAAAAAGACGACACTTATGCATAAGGATTAGATATCTTTCGATTTGAATCTAACCATAGTGTAATTTAAACAATGTAAAGTCGGAATTAGAGGTAGCATGGAAGTTTTGAACCAATTTTTTCTTGTGACAATACCGGTAAGAACACACACGTAAGTATCACGTGTTCTCAAATTCCTCAACTCGCTTAGTACTTTATGGTTTTACGCTCATCCTATTCAATAAACTTTTAAGAGAGAAACTCCAACTCTCTATTGAGGTGGCACCACCTTGAAGTTTATTTAGGTGAAGTTCTTCCAATATCTTTGTTACTTTTAGAGATACTTGAATTTTAGCACTGAACTTCATTAAGAGTTTTAATGCTCAACCCTCACTTCAGTAACAACTAGCATTATTTAATTAGGATGGGGTCATTGCAGATTTAAATAATGCTGCAACTATCCACATATCGAATGACTTGTTGTTACCCTTTGAACCCGTGGATTGCCTTTTGAGTAATAACAGGTAGGGTTGCCGTCATTGGTGGACCTTTTTAATTAAGGAGTTTCAACCCCATCCTACTCGACGTAGATGCCACTAAATCTCTATTTAGTGCTTTAGTTGAAGGATCTGCTAAATTCTCAATTGACCTTACATAATTTAGGGAAATTTTTCCATCTTTGATTAATTTCCTTATGTAGTCATGTCTCAGACTCATATGTCTAGACTTTTCATTGTATACCTCATTATATGCCTTTGCTAACGTGGCTTGACTATCACACATGATAGGTATTGAAGAGATATTCTTCGATCCCAAAGGTATCTCATATAAGAGATCCTTAAGCCACTCAACCTCTTTCCCGGTATCCGATAAAGCTACAAATTTAGATTTCATAGTCAAGTGTGTTATACATGTTTGTTTCTTTATTTCCAAAAAACAGCACCTCCTCCAAGAGTGAATACCCAACCCGAAGTGGATTTACTTTCACCCGTGCTAGATATCCAACTAGTATCGGTAAATCCTTCCAATATCATTGGAAATTTAGTATATTGTAAGCCCAAGTTCTTGTTTTTCTTTAAGTATCCAATAACTCTCACAATAGCCTTCCAATGATCATAACTTGAATTGCTAGTAAACTTACTAAATTTACTTATTGCATAAGCTATATCCGGTCTTGTGTATTGAACAACACACATAAGACTCCATATAGCACTTGCATATTCCAATTGAGCAATCACCCTTCCAACATTCTTTATTAGTTTTGAACTTGGATCAATCGGGGTACTACATTCCTTTTATGTTCAAATGTTTGAACTTATTTATCACATTCTCTATATAATATGATTGACTTAGATAATAACCTCAACTAGTCTTTGTGAGTTTGATACCTAAAATGGTATCCACTTGTCAAAGATCCTTCATCTTGAATATGGAAGAAAGAAACCTCTTTGTTTCTTCTATTCCGTCCATGTGATTACTCATAATCAGCATGTTGTCAACATACAAGTATGTAAATATCACATAATCACAAATTTTAGAATATAAACATATATCAACGCTAATATATTTAAACCCGAATGATATTATTGCTAAGTCAAACTTCTCATGCCATTTCTTTGATGCTTGTTTCACACCATATAAAGATTTCACCAACTTGCACATTTTATGTTCATTTTCAGGTAGGAAAAATCCTTCGGGTTGTTCCATATAAACATCCTCATCGAGATCTCCTTTAGGAATACCGTCTTGACATCCATTTGATGAACATGCAAGTTATTTATTAAAGCCAAAGCGAATAATATCATAATCCATGTTATTCTAGCTACCAGTGCATAAGTATCAAAATAGTCGATTTCTTCCTTTTGTGGATATCTTTTGGTTACTAATCTAGCCTTGAAGGTATTTAAGGATCCATAAACATTGTATTTTCTCCTAAATACCCATTTGCGTCCAATAGGCTTGGATCCCGGTAGTAAATAAACAAGTTCCCAAGTATTATTGGACATCATCGAATACATTTCGTCCTTAATTGCATCTTTCCAAAAAGTACTATCACGAGAAGCCATAGCTTCTTTATAAGTTTTAGGGTCGGTTTCTACTTGTAGAACAAAAGGATTTGTTCTCACAACATTCAACTCTTTTCCCTCTACTAAGTAAAAGGAGATAAGTTGAGAATCGATTTCATCCGATCCCAAAAACTTCTCAACTCGAGTTCTCTTGCTTCTTCGTGGTTCACTAGATTCATCAATATCCTTAGAAGATATTTCATCATATGTTCCACTTGAATTAGGGATACTTTCAAGATTTTCCCTCAATTCATTATCCGAAAATAACGAATCCTCAAAGAACTTCACATCGTTGGATTCGATAATCACATTGGACTCCAAATTTATTATCTATAAAATTTGCTATTGTTTGCATATCCAAAAAAGGCACATTTAATGTCTCTTTGACCCAATTTGGTCCTGTTCGGATTCATGTTCTTACAATAGGCAAGAGACCCCCACACTTTGAAGTATCCAATATTCAATTTTCTTCCTTTCCACAATTCATAAGGAGAAACCTTAGTATAATTTGAAAGAATCCTATTAAATATTCTACATGCACTTAATAAAGTTTCACCCCACAAGTTAAATGACAACTTAGCATGAATAAGCATGACATTTATCATTTCTACAAATGTTCTATTTTTTCTTTCGGGTGTCCTAGGTGCAAAATATTGATGAATAATTCCACGTCGTTCACAACACAAATTAAAATCATTGGAAAAGTATTCACCACCTCTATCACTTCTTAAAATTTTAATTTTCTTTCCTAGATAATTTTCAACCACATTCTTGTATATCTTAAACGTGTCAAAGGCTTCACTTTTATGTTTTATCAAATAAACATTTGTCTATCTAAAAAAGTCATCTATAAAAGTTATGAAATATTTATTTCCACCTCTAGTTAACATACCATGAAGTTTACATATATCAGTATGAATTAATTCTAAAATACTAGAGGTTCTCTTAACACTTTGATATGATTTTTTAATCATTTTAAATTCTACACATATTTTGCATTTATTTTCATCATTTTCATCATATGAGATCAAGTCATATTTTTTCATGCGTTTCATTGTATTTCTGCCAGCATGAAATAATCTTGCATGCCATAATGAAAATAAATTCACAACATCAGCAAAATTACTTTTATTCATTTCATTGTCAACGGTACATAATTTGACCATTCCTTTACACGAATAGCATTTTCCAACAAATTTTTCATTAAGGGATAGTACAAATTTGTCGGACTTATAAACACATTTGATGCCCGATTTTCCCAAGAGATTGCCACTAACTAGGTTCCTATTCATATCCGGAACATGTAGTACATTAGTTAGAGTAACGGTTTTTCCGGAAGTGAAGATAATGTCTACACTTTCTTTTCCAAACATCTTGGACCGCATCTCATTACCCATTTGAATCTCTTGTTTTCCATTCACTTCTTGATAAGTTTTGAACAAAGATTTATCATATATGTGTCGTAGCACAAGTATCATACCATCACCCGGGAACATTTCCTTTGATTGCATTTACTTCACTTATGATGGTCACAGTTTTGTCATCTTGGATGGAATTCATTTTGGCCTTGAAGTGGTTTTGTTTTCGGTGCCTACAATCCTTGGCATAGTGATCAGATTTTTCACACACAAAACAACCTCCTTTTGTCTTGTTCTTGGACTTGTTAAAGTTCCTAGAAGGCTTCCTTTTGTTGGATTTTGCCGGCGATTCTATTTTTTCCACAGCATTTGCTTTAGATGAGCCCATATGAGAATTTTCAGTTTTATCACGTATTCTTGACTCCTCTTCGATTCGAAGATGTTTTTGCAATTGTTTCAAAGAATAATCTTCCTTTCCAAGTTCCGGGAAGTTTGGCAATTATAGCCCCCACTTGAAAGGTCTCCGGTATATCAATTTTCACCGCCTTTAGTTTGTTGACAATTACTTGCAAATCATGCACTTGGGGAAGAAGAGGGATATTTTCTAAGAATTTAAAATCAAAATACTTAGAAATCAAAAATTGCTTTGCACCTTCTTCTTCCGCCTTGTACTTACTTTCCAATACTTCCCAGATTTCTTTCGCCGAAGTTGTATTGGTGTATAGATCATATAAACGATTCGGTAATGCATTCAAGATGTGGCCACGACAAATCAATTCATCTTCTTGACGTTTTTGTCTCTCGATCTTGATTGCTTTGGATTCTCCATTCGTTGGTTTCGGCAAAGGCGTCAAATCTGGATCAAGAATATAAAAAATTTTCAACGTTGTTAGGAGGAATTTCAACTTGTATTGCCACCGCATGAAGTTAGTCCCATCAAAACGATCCAATCTAACCAGATCTTGATTCATGAGTTTGATGGTTGCCATAGTTGTATCATTCTCCATCGCAGAATCTAGTTTGAGATTGTTAGAAAATAAGGGGTTGGAGAAGAAACAACAACAAAATTATAAAAACAAAATGAATAGAAATCACGAAATACGTCAAGAACGAATTTGAGGCTTGAACACGGGATAGTTATTCTCAAACTATATTTGCCCCCTCTCGGGATTGAATGAGATGCTTAAGGGTTTTGGCAAACGGTTTGTAGGATTATGTCAAGCCTTGTAAAGGATTTAACACCAAAGCACAAGTGCAATCCTCCAAAACTTTAAGAACACAAAAAAAGATCTTGAATATGAATGTAAATCAATAGTTTGATTCAATATGGAATGATATATGGATTTCAAGATGTTTTCAATTATTCTAATAATGTTTGTATTGATCATTCATCACCTATTTATAATCCTCAATCAATACATCACGAAATGGTGCCAAAACAAGATGAAAAGTGGCAACTTTTAATCCAAAACGACTCCCAAGTTTCAAATTGAAAAATTAGCCAATGGCTATTTTTTAACACCATGCATACGCATAGTATAACCGTGCGTACACATAGTAGAAGCAAAATTTAATTCTGATTTTGTCAAAACACATCTCGCGTACGCACAAAAATAAGTTTGTGCCTTCGCATAGGCAAAAAATCAAAATTTTCATTTTTCAATTTCTTTTGATTTTACCAATTCCACAATTGAGCCCAACAATTAGTCCATTATCATTCCATTGATTTTGAACAAATATTCAACAATAACTTGATGTGCCTCCGCGACCTTGTTGGTGAACAGGTCGAAAAGTTCATCTATAATCTCACCACCAAAATGTTCCTTTATTAATTCCTGAGTAATGGCTCTTATGCTGAAAGATACATCTCGGGGCCCATGGTGAGTGTCCGGTGCCATCGCTGAGGGCAAACTCTATGCTTTCTATGGTAAAACATTCGTTTTTCTGTATGGCTGCTTCCAATTCTTGAGGACGCGTGCAGTATGCCGGTATGTTAAATGAATCCACTTTCTCTTCATCGATCAATCCCTGCATGGAATTTATAATTTTTAATATATAGGAACGCGATCTAAGGCATAGCCCCTGTTTGTTTCCTTTTTTCTCAAATTCATTTTCAACCAGATATTCACATAAAAAAAATATTTTGCTTGTAAATCAAACTCTTTCCTACTTTTTATCGTCACATTCTCCATGAAAATTACTGATTCAAAAATCATTTTTCCTCAAAAACTCATTGGAAAGGGAGACAAATAGAGGCTATAATCGTTTGGTGGGTATATGGATGTATCTAACATTTTTGGAGAGTTCCATGAGACAAGATCCCAAGAGATCAAACATCATGTTAAAAATGACTTGATCATGAGGGGTTCCATTTGGGCGAGCCGGGACAACGATTGTCATTATTCCACCGGGGACTACCTCTTCTGCTCTTGCGCTTAGAAAGTTGGCCATATCCATGGCATGCTGAGACAAGTATGCCTTGGTTATCTCTTCTCTAGCATGAAGGAAGGTAGTAAATCCTCCCCTTGTTCCAAGCAAGTGACTTTCTATTTGTAACCTCTTTCGGCACTTGAGAAAGCCAGTGGAGTGAATACGAAGAGTGCACAAAGTGGAGAGATGCTCGTAGGAACAAGCGGGAATAGAACGATCCCGGAACGCCTGAAGCACAATATTCCCTATATGGTCGGAGATACTTGAAGAGGGTGTTGAAATCATTCATTGAATGGTCATTGAAGAAAACTTGAAATTATAGGATTCTGGTATTGCTTTCATGGATTTTGTACTTGAGTTTGACAGCTTCAAGAATGTTTTGCACTGAAAAGAAAGTGTTAGGTCCAACTGAACAACCTAAATCAGCAATGGAAAATGCGTCTAATGTTGCAAAGTTTTCTGGTTGAAGCTTCTTAGCAATGGCACTTTGAATATGTAACTTGGCAGCATCAATAACACCTCTCTACACAACACAAACCCACATTAGAAGGAGCAAATATACAAACACTGAAACACGTGCGTATTTATAGATATATAGCCCCTATTTGATCGACATTTTTTCCAAAGAGCAGCTACATGTATAGGAGGATTTTGCCGGGGTTAATACACGAGGAATTTGTCAAATTTTCATTGAAAGTTGGAAAAAAGAAAGAAGAACTGCCAATCAGGTGCTGTTGCGCAACTCTTGTACACTGCTCGACAAAAACCCCCTTGTACAAGGGAAATAACTGTTTTTTCCATTTTTTTCAAAACTCATTTTCAATAACACGTTCTCCAATAAAATAATTTTACACGTAAACCTAAAACTTTTTCCTACTTTTTAACCATACAATCTTCAAAAAATTACAATTCCAAAACACATTTCCCCGGAATGGATTTCGGACTGGCATATTTTTACCTGGTATGATGAGTTTTTGGTGTAGCTTTCACGGCCACTTCCACTCATCATTGCATGTCCATTCAAGGAACTATAGCTATCCTTTGCTACCATCTTTCTATCCTGTCTATAACTATATAAGAATGAGTGCATGGTTGTGTATAACAAACACACACATATATAGGCAGCTTTCCATGGTGTAGAGGTCAAAATTAGCAATGGTGAATCATTAACCAAATCTTTCTTTTGAGACAAGAATTCTGATTTTAATGCATTATTAATCCCATGTTGGATTAGTTAACTAATTGATTGAACAAGTCATAGAGCATTTTAGGGATAAAATTGACTTATTGTTGTCAGCATTCCCGTCATCCCGTAACTACCAAAAGACCGTTTCAAGTTTTTTTGGTCAAAGAGATCAAATATAGGCTAATAATCAATTTGTTGCTGGAAGGGCGTTTCATGTGTTTTAGGTTGTGGGGTAGTGTTTTATTATGCCACATATTGGTACGAATTAAAATTCAGATTTTTTTCATGTGTTTTAGGTTGTGGGGTAGTGTTTTATTATACTTTAGATTGGTACGAATTAAAAGAATTAAAATTCAGATTTTAATTTAAATCGAAGTTAATAATTAATTTTTATTATATATTTTATGGGATTTACAACTTTTCAACTACGCATATCACCAATTTTTGTCAAAATCTATTGAAAATTTGATTTTTATCCCTATCAAACAATGACTATGTACAAAAAAGGCAAACATTCATGAGTTTTGCTACATGTATTTTCCGATGTACATAATTCTCAAGTGGCATTTCATCATTGACTAGTAGGCAGCTCGTCTCGTTTAACATGTGAAGCCCCTCACGAGGATTGAATAATGAAGATTCGAATTGAAACGAGGGGTAATGATCTTGTTACGAAGGTTGATCCAAAAAAGAACTTAACTCAGTCTCAAGATGAACCCCTCCCCACCAGAATGTAAATCGTGGTAATTCAACATTCTTTATGAAGTCTTTTGACCAAGTTCTACAAGAATGCCACCTAGGAATGAGAAAATGGTTATGACTAATGGGTAATTGATTCAAAATATATCTTGTAGGAATTCTATAAGCGATAATTCAAACAAATCATGTGATCAAATTAATTTTATTACTATAAGGATATCATAATTTAATAGATGTGTAGTTACAAAAATTTTATTTTGACTTGACTGTCTTTACAATAAGTGATATAGATATAAAATATAAATTACATTTATAATTACTCAAGTGCATGTCAAATTCAAAGGATAGACATTGATAAAATAGATAGACATCGTTTTAGAAAACTAGTGCATGTATCTCTGTAGTGTTAGAAATATGCAAAATCATCTTAAACTTTTTAATATAACATAGCATATATACTTTGTCCCAAGTAACATTAGATAGATAATTTATTTCATCTTAAACCTTTTAAAGTAATGTGTGTGTGTGTGTGTATATATATATATATATATATATATATATATTGATAATTATTACTATGTGAAAGCAAGTTCCTTAAGATAGGACTTAGAAAAATCTAATGTTTGACAATGTGGAGACTATTCTTATTTATAACTAGGGACAAAAAATGTTGTGACTAGATAGAGTTTAATCCTATCTAGAGTATCACTATAAAAAGGTCTTATTTTGATTACTTGTTTTAAAAGTTGAAATCAACTTCTTCAAAATTAAGTGCAGATTTTCTTTAAGCACTCAAGTAAAACTAGAGGTGTAAAGGTTTGTCAATATTTATTTAGGCATTGTTTGCATTGATTTTAGACGTCAACTTCTAATTGTCAAAGAATTAGAAGTTGTTTTAGACATTTTGTTTTAGACATTTGGTAAATTTATATTATCTGACGCAAATTTTAAAAAGAAGCAAATGATAGCTTATTAGATTTTACTTTTAAATTTTCCACTTATCTATTAAAAAGTATTATTTGCAATCCTAATTAATTATGTAATTCTTTTTTTCTTTTTTTTTTGTCGTATGTGTATTAATATTGAAATAATGAAGAATCTTTCATTCTAAGGCCATCTTCCTAAAATTCATCTCCAACCATTACTCCAAATTAACAGTGTTTTATTATTTTATTCATTTTTTCAATTTTTGACAATGTATTTATTTAAAAATTTTATTTATTTATTTTATAACTATATAAATTACTAAATCATAACTTCATTAAATTAACAAAATATATTGAATTATTATTGATTACTAAATTATTCACATGTTGTATATATTATGTTAAATTGACGAAAATAATTGATTATATTATTAATTTATTATAAAAAAATTACGTTAAATTTACAAAAATAATTACTAAATTAAAAAATCTTTAATTATTATTAATTATATTATTAAAAATAATAAAATTTACTAATGTAATTAATAATAATAATAATAATAATAATATTATTATTATTATTATTATTATTATTATTATTATTATTATTATTATTATTATTACTGAACGAAAATGACATCAATACTCTTAACTATTATCTTTGAAAAATGAAAAAGAATGACAAAATAGACATTGTGCCATTGGTGCAATGAACAATGTTGCACCAAATATGGTGCAACATGAACCAAAATAGTGCAAAGGTTGGAGGAAGGTTTGCACCAAATTTTGTTACAATTTGGTGCAACATGAACCAAAATAGTGCAAAGGTTGGAGGAAGGTTTGCACCAAATTTTGTTGCAATTTGGTGCAATAGGGCACCCATTTGAGCTGGATGTTCATGTTAAAAATCATTCAAATCTATTTGACATTTTACTTATTACATAAAAATGGAGAATTAGAGAAGTCAAGGCAGTCGAATATGGACAAAATAATTTATGTGAATACTTTTCTACTATATGGATTTTGCTTTTATTTTGTAATTTACTAATTTTATAAATAGTGGAATTTAATATATATTATTTTTTAAATTCGAAATAATTAAAGTAAATACTTTATCTTATAAAAATATTGATAATATTACTTTTTATTATAAATTAAAAATAAATATTAAAATATTACTAACGATAATCTCTACTCTCTTAAAAGAGAGAATCATCCTGCACTATTCATTCAGGATGCATTTTATTTTTCCATCTTACCCTTAATTTGATTGTTCATTTCCAAACAACAAATCCCTACTATATTCATTTATGAAGCTTTACAACAAAAAGGATAATATGGACTTTTTCCTACCTACGATTGTTGACAATTCACTATATATATATATATATATCTCACTACTCCTTACTACACTAAAAGAGGGAATGTGACGAGTACTATTCATTCTAAACATATTTTGTGTTTCCCTATTTTACTCTTGGATATTCCATAATATCACATTTCACTCATGAAATGTTAAATCACTACTAATGATCTTCTTACGCGTGTGCGGTGCTGCTGTTTTACCTGATTTGAATTTTTACGTCAAAAAAAAAATTAGTTGATGTCATACCACATAATATTTTTTTTTATAAAAATTGTCGCGAAAAAATAATAAACATTAATAAATAATTGATTTTTTTTAAAGAAAAAAGACGAGTTATACGTATTTTTTAACACCCACTTTTGATGTACGTTTAATTATTTTCGATATTCATTTAAATTATTCAATGTGTTATGACATGGTTCTCGAAATGAGTTTCGAAAGAATATAGAAGATTTATGCATTCGACTACCGTACAATTGTCGATAAATTTATAAAGTTAACTTGTTATCGAAATTCTTAATTTTTTAAATGATGTCTCTTTTGGCATTAAAAAAAAGAGTTTATTATGAAATTTTCTAAATGACGTCAAAAATTATTATCATGAAAAAATAATAATTATTAATAAAATAATTGATTTTTTTTAAGAAAAAAGACGAGTTATACGTATTTTTTAACATACACATTTGATGTACGTTTAACTATTTTCGATATTCATTTAGATTATTCGATATATTTATGATATAGTTCTCAAAATGAGTTTCGAGAGAATATAGAAGATTTATGGTGAATTTTTATAAAAAAAAAATCTAAATAAATCACCTAGTGAAAAAAAAAATTGACACACCAAAAAAATAAAAAACCAATAGAGCAACTCCGCGCATCACGGAGCATTTGCTTTATGATGCGCGAAACAATTTTGCTCCTGGCATCCAGGAGCAAGGAGCAATTTGCTCTGTGGATCCTTGGGTGATGCTCCGTGATGTACGGAGTTGCTAAGTCAGGCATTTTTTTTCTTTTTTTTTTTTTAGATGATACTCACTGTCAATTTTTTTTTTGTTGCGTGATTGATATTTTTTTTGCGTCAATTTTTTTCCTTTTTTTTCACTAGGTGATTTATTTAGTTTTCTTTTTTAATAAAAATCTATAATAAATTTTTATAAATCTTCTATATTCTCTCGAAGTTCATTTCTAGAACTATATAATAGATATATCAAATGATTTAAATGAATATCGAAAATAGTTAAACATACATCAAACATGTGTGTTAAAAAATGCGTATAACTCGTCCTTTTTTCTTTAAAAAAATCAATTATTTTATTAATGTTTATTATTTTTTCGCGATGATTTTCTCAATATAATTTCATTTTTTCTTTGATGATTGATATATTTTTTATACAAATCTATTTTACCCTTATATAACGTGTCACGGAATATATTAATTCATGTATATTGTTTATTTTTTAAAAGTAGTTGTGATAAATCAAAGTAAAACTTAACACAATGTTGAAAAAATTTAATACTTAGTCAAACAGATGTGATTTATTTGACGATATTGAATATTTTAGATGTATATAAATTTTGGAGGATTAAATTCAAATATATCAAAATTGGGTGATTAAATAAAAATCTCAACCCCATTTAAGTACAAAATATTATACTGTGGCTTACCTTGTGTTTGGCTCTATTAAATTTTTTTCTCATTTTTCTCTCTTTTATTTTCAATCGCAGAATCTTTCATAAAATAATATTATACGTAAATAAATAAAAAATCATTAAATTGATTGGATATTGAACAATAAAAAAAAAGATTCGATTAACTCCACGATTTAATTATATTGAATATAGTTATCATCAAATAAGTCATTTATATGTAAAATAACCACCCA